CCTTCTTTTTTAAAAAAAAAAGAGATAACTTATCCTTCTTACCTTAGCCATTGTTGAAATAGCTATAGACAATGAACAATTCAAGATATATAGAATACTTACATATAAAGAATTTTTCTTGTCGGATTCAAGATTCATAGAACAATTACGTACTATGAATCCATCCCATAAAAGTGTATATGATTATGCGTTTTCCCATCCCTATAATAAAGTCGTTACGTAATGATATTTGACGACAAATTGATGGTAAATTATAACTATGTAACTACAATTAATAGAGTTTTAGTTTCACGTGTTACGTAAATACCTTTCTTTTTTAATGAAAATATGACATCAACGTTCATTATTGTTGAGAATTTTTTGACTCGGAGATTGCCGCAAGTGTCAACGAGATTAATGAATATATTGTATTAGAAAAAAAGTGAGTCTTTTGAATTAAGTATTAGCTTTTACGAAGCACTCAACTTTTTTTAATTTTCATTTTCTTTAAACACCTAGCTAACTTGCTCCAAAAGAAACCACCATCTTTTTTATACAATTCAAACGAATACAAAATGGCATATTTACACAAATATACGCATATAAAAACATGTGGTTGGAAGCATATGAAGTATAACGCAAGATTTCGGTATAATGCTTGATCAAACAAAGTTTTATGAAGAAGTTACATACCTTTTTTTTTGTGGGATTACATTAATTTCCAATGTTGATAGACAAAATCTTTTGGATTTAAAATACACAAAATGTATTATGCAAAGTGTCGGTATACCAAACCCACTACCACTCCCCGAGTTACAACCGCTCCATTATGTTACACTTTCGCATACGTATAATCGACTCAAACGTTTTGCTTTTGTTAATTGACATATATATATGTACTATTTTATAACCGAATCTTTTTATTAGACATAAATGGCTGATGAAAATATGCAGTATATAACTTAAAAACTAAGTGATGTTAAGTGATCATTGTTGTGGTACAAACGAAATTCAAATTTGCATTATACATGATGAAGACAACAACAACAAAAACTAAACATAACTAGTTAATTTCAAAAAGTAGAAACCAATATTAATATTAGAGTCTGTTTATTTGAAATCTACATTATGACTCTCTATAACAAACACACAATGACTAAGAAATGCATAAATCTTTGTTAATCAAGTGCTTTTATTTTTTGGTTTTTTTTAAATACCGAGAATTAAGATTCTAATCAGTGTATAACATATGTGCATGTTGGGAAAATCAGATAATACTTTTTTGTTTTCGATGAGCAAAACTTTTGAAAATAAGTTAAACTTTAAAAATTAAAATTAGCCACAGAAGCAGCCATAGAAAATAGTTCAAATCTAGATAAAAACATTTGGATCGATACTGAAGTTGTATAAATTTGGAGGAAGTGTATGTGAAAAAAATAGAATAAGTAGAAACCAGAAGAAGAAAGAAATCTCGTGCGAAAGAAGCCAATAAGAGAGATGAGTGCAAACTACGAGGTAACTTATTACATTGATGTGATTATTTGATTTCCCTATCATACCCAAATCTATCACTTCTTTTACGATTTTAACTATTTACGCTACTACGCTAAAATCATTTATAATATTCACTATTTATTATAAAAACTTTTAATTATTTACGTTGAAAACCATCTATAATACTAGCATCCGTATTGGTGAATTTTAGTAGGTATCATTAAATATAAAATTATTAAAATTTGAGTAAAAGGAAGAAAGAGAGTGTTTTTGGTTGAAATAATGAGGTGTATTGAAATATAAAATTAATAAAATTTGAGTAAAGAGAAGAGATAGTGGGTATTTTTGGAGAGAGAGAGTATCAAAAGTATCAACTATTGATACTTTTGAAGAGAGAAAGAGTGTGTTTTTAATAATTTTATATTTAAAAAGAGTATAAAATTAATAAAAGTTGAGTAAAATGATGAAAGAGAAGGTATAAAGTTAAGTAAAAGGAAGAGAGAGTGTGTTTTTAATAATTTTATATTTAATGATACCCTCAAAAGTTCATGGATACGGATGCTCTAATATCTACATTTTGTAACAATTACAAGTTTTGTTTTATTTGCGATGCAGTTTAAAATGTACCATTTTGTGTGTGATATTTTGTAAACCGAATTATTATAGTATAGTTTAAATTCGGTCAAATTAAGATTTATAATTCTGCTATTTTTTAATTTTAAGTTTCAAAAAATTGAAAAAATTTAGTGAAGCTATTTATCAATCAATTCAGCTATTGAAAGTTATTATTTAAAACACTCGAACTTATAGTGAAAATTAGTTATAACTTATCGTTGTTTGACAAAAAAAAAATGTATCGTTATTACATTTATATAACATCTATATAATCGATTTTTTTTTTATGTTTGTTATTTTAATTTATCGTTTTAACTATGCGTCTATGTAATCTTTCATTAGATTTAACCATGTTTGTTATACTCATTGTTTATTTCGCACCATGTCATGTTATCTTTAAACTTTTGAATTCGAAAATCTAAAACGATATATTAAAAAAAAGGGTTTATGTCAATTTAATAAAATTGATAAAATTGTCTTTTTAATGACACAACACAATGGTTTTATAGATTATAAATAGGCGCGTAGACGTCACTTCCAATAAATCGCGAGTGGGCCTTGGGATGTTGTAAGCTCCAAAGTACAAAGAAAAATCGAACAGTACCGAAAGCGAAGTAAGCAGATATTTTTTTAATATAAAAAACAAACAAAACAAAAAATTACACTATAACAATTTTTTTTCTTTTTTGGTTTCTGAT